GGGATGATGATTGCTGTTTTAAGACATGATGTTAATACTCCTGTTGTGAAGGATATATTGATCACATCTACTAATACCTGTAGGGCCTCAAATGGTAAATTTAGTAATATTTTGACAGATATTTCATCCATACCAGAAGTCTTTTTATTTTTAATATCCGATATATCATTCCTAAACCAATTGAAAACCATAAAATCTTGTCGGAATGGATTTCAATGTTCTAAAAACACACAGGTCGCCATTTTCACTTTCTCAGAAACCCTGTATCTTGATTTAAATGTAACTTTGACTTTCTTGTACAATCTCCCTTCTGTGTATTTTAGCGCAATAAAGTACTATTATTATTACCATTTCAGAATCTGACCGAATTCAATACAGCTCATAACAGACGAATATCAATGCTGGGTATCAGTGACGATGCAGACAAACGGACAACCAGCAGGAAACGTAAGCGACAATATGTTTCATTTAACGAAGACGAGGAAGTTATCAACCCAGAAGATATCGATCCCAGCATAGGTAGGTTCAGAAATCTCGTGCAGACCACAATAGTGCCAACTTCCAAGCGAGCCAAAATAGCAGATGCCATGGGCATACCGACTACAGAGTTTCGAATACCGAAAGCCTTGCACCATCCGCACGTGTCGACTCCGGACTTGTACAATGACTTGCCTCCAGAGTCTCACGGGTCAGGAACGAGTAATATGGGCCTGTACAGCTCGCTGAGTTCGAGGCTGGGTATGGCGTTACCTAACCCGGCTCCTGAAGTTGATATAGGCCAGACCTTCACCAGTCCAACTCCCTTTGTTCCCCAACAGGTTTCTACGCAAGATTCCTTGGAACCGAAGAAGAAAAAGTACGCCAAAGAGGCCTGGCCCGGGAAAAAGCCCATTCAAACGCTATTGGTTTAATAATCAAAATGAGTGTGTAAGGTCGAATCAAGTTTTTGTTGAGTTTGATTTTGTACATTTAGGTACTTTTTGCCTTGTGGTTCATTGAGGGTACAACAGATGTTTTTCAAAATGTCGGAAAAGTGTTTCCCAAATTTCACCTTGATCTTCTGTCAGTTCTGAGCAATTGATTTATTAGTTTTCTTTTTTGGTGGCTTGAAGTAGTCCTTTCTCAAATTGATTCATGTAGAATTCTGCCTTGGCCATTTTTATAGACTTTTTAACGTCTTTATTGCTCTCATTATATTTCAAAGAAATATTTCTGGTAATTTTATCTTCTTTTTGATGCTGTCATAGAACCAATGTTTTGATTTGTGGTATATCTTTATTGTTTTTGTGAAACTGCAACTCTTATTATATCGTTTTTCTATAATTTTGAAACTATGATTTTTTTTGCCTTAGTAAATTACTTCCAGTTATGTTCATGATTTGTAAGTGATGGTCACTTATAGGAGAAAACATTTTGCTACTCCGACAGGCATTATCTGTAAAAAGTGTCTTCTGGTTGCTTAGTACCTTGTATGAATTTTAATAAAAACAGACAGAGAATTAACTAACAGGCACTGTAGGGATCTTGAATTATTCATTTTGGAAAGTACTTCTTCATTTGCAGTAATATAATCTATATTTTCACGTTTTACTTAATAAATAACTTCAATAATTTTATCCATAATTTTTATTTTTGCGGCTGAATTCGAGGTACCAATTAATGTTCCTTCAAAAGCATCCGAAACTGTTTTTTGTTTTAGCTCTTTGTCAAAGGTCACAATTAATATTTTTTCACAGTTGAAAAATCTGTTTTTCCGCCCCTCCACGAATGACAACCCTCAGAAGTCGATACTTGTGCGAGTTCAGGATTAACTGTAAATGATTGAGTACTTTTTGAAACCATTTATCAATTTAAGGGCCTCATAGAGTCTGCTGCAATATTTTTTTTTTCAAATGGCACGAAATTGTCCAAAATGACGATACGAATTTAATGTTTTCACGTTTTCTACCGTCCTTTGTTATAAATCACAAAAATATGCGTAGACAACTATTACCAGTATACTCTTGAGTGCATAATCTTCTAGGTACATGTTCAACATGTTATGAAGCATAAATATCATTCAGATATTATGAGATCAACACAATTTAATCATGAATTTTGCTATAACTCACTTTTTAACATCTTGTCTCCCATCACTGGCTCATTTTTGAACAGTAATTCAGTGTTTTTCGGCCTTTACCATGGATCCAATCCATCTTCTGCAGTTTGAAAAGTTCAACTGTGCAAATAATGAAATACTAATTTTGTTGTACGCTTAGTGGACCATGCTGATTATATTTTCATTTAGAGTTGAATTTATATCCAATTTTTGTAAACTACTTTCTAGAGTTAAGTATATGGTTTCGTGATACTTTACACTACTAATTGTGTTGATATATTTACTGTGTGGTTGAAAGATAATAATTATATACAGCGCCCAGCTATTAGTACAATTTTTTTCTGATTCATCCCCTCATGCAGTTTTTATCGAATTCTTATCCTTATTATAAGCCATCTTGGCTTTTTTTTCGAAGAACTTTATTTGGACTGAACTCATGTTAGTGAAGCTTGGGAAGCAATACAAAAAAATGTTACGCACTTAAATTATGAATGCATTGATCCGTTTCTTGATGTAAATTCAAAACACTATTCATGAAAATCATTGTGCAATTATCACACTATTTTGTTTAAGATGCTTTCGCTACACGGTAGCCTCAGCAGTTTGTCTGATACATCAAATATTCTACAACAGATATATAACAGTAGGTAATTAGCAAACTTAATTAGATTGATGATTAACTCTAGTTAAACAGTTAAATTTCGAAAAACAATAACAATGCAATATTTATTCTGGGAAAACAGGTAATTATATGTTAACTATTGCCATTTTATATCCATAATTAAATGATTAATTCTTTCAAAATAGGTAGATTTTAAAAAAACAAATCACAATACAATATCGCTTCTAGGAAAAGAAGTGATTTATAAATATTAGTTAATGACAAAGTAGGTAGATTAAAAAAAATTACAAACATATTCAAAAAACACTACTTCTTTACTGAATAAACACACGCCCGAGGAAGCCATTGTATGGTTAAACACGTGTTGCCTTTTTGTAAAAGTGTTCAGTGAAAATTTTACAATAAAGTGTTTTTTGAATATGTTAGTTATGGATTTTCATAATGTATCAGCCAATTCCATCATATAACACAATCACAATACATTACTTTTAGAAAAATAGGTAATTTATAAATAGGTTAATCAATCAATCAATCAAAATATGCTTTATTATCAAAGAATAACATCTTGTTGACAAAGCCTGTATAAATAAAATAAATTAAAATTCAGTTCTACACGTTTTGTACCTTTGTCTAAAAATTCATTTTCAGGGTATTTCTGAAATTTGCTACAGCTAATTCAACATTCCACTCGTCTTTCAATCCTATTTTTTCTAAAAAATATGTGACGGAATTGGCCAAAACTGGATTGAAATCTATGATGTTCTTACTTTTTTTCCGGTGGGTTGACCAATAATTGACTACACTGAATAATCAAAATTAACTTTATTTCACTTGGGATACAACAAACACTTCAACTAAACTTCAACTATTATTTGAATGTCTATCGCCTTACTATATCACTTCGCGTACCGCACTGTAACGTCCACTCGACTGCGTCGATATCCTCGTGGATATCTTAATCGAATGTTGTAGAAATTTCGCCGAAGTTCCGTTGAAATCGGTAGCATTATTCTCGCTGCTTCTAGAGTGGAATCATCGTACATTCGTGCGCTCTTAGCTACGTCACATTTGGTTTATGGTTACCAGTGGCGGCCGGGGTAATATTTTTCCGGGCATAATTTACAACAATATTTAATTGAGATTTTCACTGAACAGTTTACAAAACCATAAAACGTGTTTCAGTATACAATAGCATGTTCAGGGGTGTTCAGGTTCAGTCTAACTGAATTTTACCTAATTAGTAAATTATGACTATTTTTCATCCTCAATGACTAATAATTTTCAACTGAGTTTATGTATAAACTAATCACTATTTTGACCATTAGGGAACAAATTTAAATAACATGAGATTACTAGAGTTGATCTAACACCTAATTACCAATCTCTGAAAACAAATTTAATATGGGGGAATTATTCAATTCTATTCAGTCAGTGGATATTTCAAATTCTTGAGTCCATTGATTTTCAAGCATTCCATGAAATTCAGTTCCAAACCTCTCTCTTTCAAATATACCTCAATCGATCATTTATTTCCTTTAATTGACAACATACATTGTATAGGGATAGTCACAGATACTACACAACTATAAAAGTTACAAACTAATGAATGTATATTACAAAGAGGTGAATTAATTACACAAGTATAAAAGTCACAGTATAAAAAACTTTGTCCAATAAAAATATTTTGAGTTATTTTTTGAATTCTATTTACCTAGTACAATTTCTTATTGACTCAGGTAATTTGTTGAATAACCTTGGCCCAATACAGTTTGGCGAAGAACTGGTAATATTCAATCTGGCAAAAGGTATAAGCAAGTGGTTCTTTTGTCTTGTATTGATTTTATGTGTGTTATAATTCTTTGGGATTCCTTTCCTATTTCTATGAACAAAAAAATATATCTCAAAAATAAAGAATCCAGTCAGAGTTGAATGTTCAATTTTTTGAAAAGATCCCTGCAAGAGTGTTGTCTTGATTTTCCTGCTAAGCACCTTACAATTCTTTTTTGTGCAATGAATGTGTTCCTAGAATGTACGGAGTTGCCCCAAAAGTGAATCCCATATCTCAAACGAGATTCCACCTGGGCATGGTAGTTCATTAACTGTTCACGAGTTAGAATAGTCTTTAAATTGTAGATCAAGTAATAGAATGAATTAAGGTTAGATATTAATGATTCACAATGTGTTTTGAACTTAAGATTTTTATCTAGTTCAATACCCAGGAATTTCACAGTATCACTGGTTGGAATTTCTTGACTAGATAGTTCAATCTTGAAATCCTCACTGTGATATTGTGCTGTCTGAAATTTAACAATAGTTGTTTTGCCTGGATTGAATGATAATTTATTTGACCAAAACCACTTCATCAAAGACTCTAATATAGATTCACATTCATTTTGTAAGATGTTGTTAGATTTGTTAGAAATAATCAGTGATATATCATCAGCATATAATCTAAATTGTATCCTAGGAAATATTGCACCGATTTCATTAATCAGTGACACTATTTTCCCTTTCGTCATAACACGCCATAATCGTATTCGAACTTATCTACTTCTGCCTAATAATTGTTCAAAACGGTGGAATTGGTACCTCTTGTAAATAATTAACACCTGGTAGACGAGCTGAAAGAAAAATAGCAATGGACTTTCATTTACATTGCTCTTGCAGCTGAAATCATTCTAAGGAAAATAGTTGTGTCGATCGTTTATACTATTCTATATTCGCCCTTAACCCTACATTTTAAAAGATTCACTTTAATAATGCACTTTTTGGAAAAATTTGATTTTTGCGTCTAAGATAAACATCAACCATTTCTCATTGAATTTCGATATTTCAGCTTCATGGACGGTACTATTCGTTTCCAGACGATAGGTAACCTGAAAAATGGGAATAATGTATTTATTTATTCAACAATGCGTAACCTTCAGTAGTAAAATTATATTGTATAAATTCAAGGCAGTTAAAACTGCTACTAATCTACACACATCGGAAAAGTCTAGGGATATTTTTATAACATACTAAATATCCTAAAAATAAATGCATGAGGTCGTTTAATTTCGATTAAATTGGTACACTCGACCACCCTGTAG